TAGTTAGCTAATACTTGATTTTGATTAGACACTTATACAAATCAATATATAATGGGCTACTTGGGCACTGGCTATAATTTTTGTATCCCCATAATGCCAAGTCCCAAAACTGGTTGTACTATATTTATCCCCATTGTCCTATAAAAGGACACTAAATAATGTGTCACTCAAATGATAAAATAATATATAATGAAATCTTTTGACTAAGATATTATGGTGTCAAACAAATACCCACGTGAGCTCCAGAAGAGTCACGGGATTATTATAAAGTATATTTGTTCTATTGACAATTGTACATATTTATTTACAAAATTCCTCTATAAATTTTGGAAATTTAATGTATAGGACATCAAGATTGTTATCTTGAGGGGGAGTATAATTTTACACGGATCAATCCTGAAGGTTGATGACTAACAACACATACATCATGCACTCTTTTCCTCAACTAATTTTTCCCACTAGGTTTTTTCTAATGAGGTTTTTAGCGAGGCATGAGTATGATATAGTAATGACAATGGGGAAAGTTGCAAAATAATTACTTAAATGGACAAACTTCAAAATCCCGAAGATTATACAGATTGTGCCCTGAAGGCTTATGGTTAGTTGTTCATTTTTTGTTCAATATGCAAAGGTTTGATTTTTAAATTTTGCTCATTTTTTTTACATTAATGTATATATGGGAAGAGTATATTATATTATTAGTCTCTAGTTATAGTGATTATTGGTTTCAATCCATGGTTGTTAGTATATAGTCCTTAATTTTTGTTAACCGTGTTATGGTTTAAGCCACCAAAGTTAAACAATTAAGGAATAAATCACTAACTTATCAACAAATAGAGATTATTAACTATGATAACTTTTAAATATGAAGAAAGAAAGAGCTTATATATATATTTACATTAAACATTCTTAAAATTGAAGAAAAAACAAACAAAATGTTGATATTTCCAGTTATGTTAACAAAGCGCTGAAAACAATTCGAATTTAATTTGTAACAAGGAGAAATACTTGACTATATCCATCATACATATGAACGCACACAACACAAGCATAATTGTCATCAATTGTTGTACCAAAGAAGAGAGATTTTTGGAAGGTTTCAAGAACACAATCAAGAAAGCAATTTTTTTTTTTTTTGATGTATAAGACACGAATAAAAAATAGTATGTAAGATAAGAATGATATGGTTTTTTTTTTTATTTTTATTTTTATTTTTATTTTTTTATATATTTAATAACCTAAGGAAACAAATTTGAAAAAGTTATGATATATGACCAAAAGAACCAAATTTGTACTGATTATGAGATAAACCTAGGCTCTGAATTAATAATGATAGAGTTACCTGATGAACTAGCTAGCAGCATATTCAGCCACCTCTCTAACCCGAGAAGTCAGTAGTATACGGCTTCCATTATCATCATTTGGAAAGCACCTTTTGCACACTATCCCAAGCTTCTTTGCTCCATATATCATCTATCACTATCAAATATCTTTGATCCTTCATGCTTTTCCGCAGACTTTCTGCTAATTGGCCTGGGTCACTACTTTGTTCATCACTTGATGCACTAACACAACCAATAACGGGGCGTTTGGTTGGGAGTAAGGAATTAGGGTGGAAAGGAATTGCAATTCGGTGGGAAAAGAATAAAGTGGGAATAAAGTAGGAATTCAAATTACATTGTTTGGTAGGGATGAATAGAATTATTGGGTAGGGAATGAAAGAAGTGATATAAAGACTAAAATGTCATTGTGTAATAATAATAGTAGTAATAATTAAGGGTACTTTTGTCATTTCATCCCTTTTTCATTTTCCCACAACCACCGAATTGCAATTCATAGGGGGGTGCCCATGAATTGCAATTCAGCAAAAGGAAGGAATTGTAATTCTGTGGAATTGCAATTCCCTCCAACCAAAACGGCGTAATTGTGGCTTCCACTGAATTGCAATTCAACTACAGCCAAATTACGCCCAACCAAACAAGCCATAAGGCATCTAAGCATTTCCTCCACGGTATACTCTTAGGATACGATCTCAGATTTCTCAAGACTGTCTTGAAGGAAACCAAGATTTATATATAAGAGGCACACGTGGTTCTGACTGCAAGAAATGTAGATCGAGTGTTCCTTTAAGCGAAGTTACAGCAGCATAAGCCATTTTTGTCTGTCTATGTGGTAAGCTGATCAGAGCATAACTAAGAAGAAATGAAAGATGTGATGCAAATTAGACAGGAATTCTGGTCAACACGGCTAGTGGGTTAGCAATTATGAGATAATTTAATATCCAATGTTTGTACCTTATGACAATTATTTTCAATTATTTTAATTAACATACAAATAATTTAACTCTTTTAATTTAAATATTAGTTTGGTGCCTTGGTGAGTTGGTGCCTTGGTGGTTAGAATATTTAAATATAATTATATGTAGGAGATGTAACATTTTTTGTTATTGAGTTATACTCTGTATACAGACTTCGTTCCTAAATTATACACATGCCCAATCTTTGACCTCTTAATTTGGTCTAACCATGTTAAGCATTGAAGTTGTGTTTGGTTCAAACATTGGAATCAAAATGGTAGTATAAATCAAAAACTTGGTAATGATAATGATTTTAAGTAGGATGAGTCTTTGTATTTGGTAGTAATATATATATATATATATATATATATATATATTGTGACACCCCGTAAATCCAAATACTAATCAAGGATTAATTAGAGAATTAATCCTAGTCTCTTTGTTAATTTAGTCCTAAAAATCCTGAAATTCAATACTGGAAGGACTAGATTTTGACTAGCCACTTAAGTCAAAGTGTTGTACTGTAATACCCAATTTCTTATAAATGCAATTATGCTTAAGTTTTATTAAGTGAAGTCAACAAGTCAAAGCTTCTTATTTTGATATTGGATAAAATTACCAAATTACCCTTCTTTACCCTTAAAGGTTAAGGAACCACATGAGTCTTGGATAAGCATCATATTTGAAAGAAGACAAGGAGAGCTAATTAGAGAGAGTTAGGGGAAGGGAAAACCTTGAAGCTTGGATCTCCATCTTCTTCAAGCTTAGATCTCTAAGATATTGGGTATTCTAGGTGAGTTTAACCTCTATCTTTTACTCTTTATGAGTGGATTTATCTTTGGAGCCCTAAGATTGATATTTGAAAATATTAGGGATTTTGACAAGGAGTATTTGGGCAAGCTAAATAGCTAAGATTTGGATGTTTTAGGTAAGTGTTTATTCCTCTCAAAACTATTTTTACCCTATACTATAAATTAAGCTTGTGTTCCGAATTGTTATAATGAAGCTTGAGCTGCGTATTTTTGGACTAGAAACGTTGCTATGTAATCTGGACTGGAATTGTTGTAAACTGTGTTTCTGGACAGAAAGTATGGTCTTATTTAATCTGAACTGGAATTAACACCATGTGTAGTGATGGTTGAATGGTTTATGGTTGTTGTGCTGGTAGTAGTTGGTCCAGAGTTTGAATTTGCTTTGCTAATAAGGCCTTATGTTTGTTTTATATACGTAATATATGACTTATGTTTGTTTTATATATGTAATATATGCTTATAAAATGAATTATTTGTTTAAAGTGAGACTTGAACTCTTAACCTCTTGCTTATTAATTTAAGTTTTTTTCCAACTAAGCCATTTCAATCCCTTTGAAATTACTTTGGTTTAATAAATCATTCTATGATTTTTAAAGAGTTATGTACTAAGAAAATTATTATTTTGAGAATGGTTTATACCTTGCATATTTCTTAGTTTGATAAACTTATTATCTATTTTGGAAATAGGTACTTTGTTATGTGATTTTAAAGAAATGATTTTTGCTACATCGGGCTATTTGATTATAAGAACTATTTGGATCATTTGATAAAACTCATGAGGCAACCTACATTTTGTTGTTTGTTTTGTTTGGCTTGGAACGTTCCTAATTGCTCATTCTGAATCGTCGAGCTTGACTCATTCCGAATCGTCGAGTCTTTTGAATTCTTTGTTGGAACGTTCCATCCGGCTCATTCCGAATCGTCGAGCCTGACTCATTCCGAATCGTCGAGTCTTTTTGGACCATTATACCAATAATGGCATGTGCCACAAAATATAATGGTGGTTGTAGGTTGCCAATGGGTCATATGTTAAGGAATGATTTGTGCTTTTGAATGTCTTTTGTTATGAAATATTGTTGATGCCCATGTAGCTAAAGTTTCTTGTTTTGTGAGCTTATGTATTGTATGATGGAGTATATTATGACTTCGATATGGTTTAAAGATCAAGTTTTGCCTCTAGTTATTACTCTAAAGCTTTTTGTATTATATTGGGGTTACTTGATCCGGGGTTGAGAGGAGTACCACTTACTGGGCATTAGCTCATTATTTGTATTTGTTTTTCCTCATGTTTCAGAGTAGTTAAGGACATGTGAATAGCACGAGCACAAGTGGTGGGGTCTCGAAGGTGACTTTTGGAAACTAGGAGACTTAGTCCTACTATTGGAGCTTATCACAGATTTTTGTTTCTTTTGGATATTCCCGTTGACCCTTTGTATTTTGGTAAACCATTGTGCTTGGTTTTGGTGCTTGTAATGCATTTTTTCATGCTAGTCTTGATTGTAAATATTTAATAGTGGTGATTTGGTGAGTTTTTGGGAAGAACTAGTTGTTTATATTGGCCATAAAAGTGAGGAATTGTTATGTATTAAAGTGTTGTTATGAAGGTTCCGAGAGGTATATATGGCTAGGTTTCGTATTTTTATAGGCTTTCATGTAGCGATACGGCCGGGTCATGTCCTAGAAGCGGGGCGTGACAGAGTTGGTATCAGAGCCTAGGTTTGAATCCTTAGTTGGTCAAGAACTTAAGTTTAAATTTTTGCAAAATTAGGCTTTAACCTTGTGGCTGATAAGTTTAGGCTTTGAGCAAGTTTTAGCTAGTTGTGGATTCCTAAACATTTTTGCTAATGTGGTCCTACTTTCTCTGTTGCGAATTTAGGGAGTGTTGCTTTACTATGATTAGGAGGGGTGTTCGTACACGTGGTCAAACTCATCGAGGTAGGCCATCGACAAATGTGTCTCCCATTCGGAACATAGCTGTGGATGCAAGACCATCAAGGAGTCCCCCGGTTCAGGGAGTCAATCCTGGAGCTGCTGCGGCCCCTCCTGGTGCAACACCTACAGCTCCCCCAACTACCTTGCCAAATACACCACCATTAGCTACTCAAGCAGATATCATTGGAATCAGTACTGTTGTAGCTAATCTAATTCGACAACAGCAAGGACAACAAGATGTCACTACCCAGTCTTCATATTTCGAAAGGTTTAGGCGAGTGAACCCCCCTACCTTTAATGGTGGCCCAGATCCTACAGCGGCAGAGAGATGGATTAAGGAATTGGAAAAATTATTTGATGCAATGCAATACCCTAACGACGTCAAGGTAGCAGTAGCCGTTCCTTTATTGCAAGGGAATGATGAGCATTGGTGGGAGGTAGAAAGGGCTGCCCACCCTGATGGTGTTAATTGGCAAGATTTCAAAAGAATTTTCTTTGACAATTTCTTCCCTGACAGTTTGAAGACAATCAAAGAAAATGAGTTTCTGGACTTAAAGCAAGGAAGTATGACTGTGTTGGAGTATGCGCACAAGTTTCATGAGTTGGGCCAATTCTGCTTGAGATATATGATTGGCGAGAGAGACAAAGCTAGAAAGTTTGAGCGGGGACTAAGACCTGATATTCGAGATAAGTTATGTGGGACCATCTTCACCACCTACTTGGCTGTGTATATGAGCGCTCTTAAAGCTGAAGCCGAAGTGAATAAGCAAGCTGAATACTGGGCACGGAAGAAAAGAGCAGGGCCCAAGATATCTAAAGAAGCTAGTGGTTCTAACAATAAGAAAAGAGATGTTGGATTTCAGAAAAAGGAAAATACATGTGGATATTGTCATCGATCTCATACCGGTCCATGCCACCGTAAGACTGGAGCTTTCTTTGGATGTGGACAACAAGGCCATTTGATCAAGAATTGTCCCTCCATGAAGAAGAACGAAGCACAGTCGACTCATCCCAAAAGGGCTAATGCTCGGGTTTTTGCATGACACAGGAAGATGCAGATAAGGTGGACAATGTAGTTGCAGGTATTATTCCCCTAAACACTGTGGATGCTTATGTGTTGTGTGATTCTGGTTCTTCGCATTGTTTTATTTCTGAGAGGTTTGCAAAGAGCTTAAATTTGCAAGCTAAGAAGTTGAGTGAACCTTTATATGTTAGTACCCCGATGGGGAAAATTGTGGTGACAGACACTTGGTTTCAAGATTGTCACCTACAACTTAATGGGAGTAATGTGTCAATTGACTTAGTTCAACTAGATATGCGGGATTTTGATGTGATATTAGGAATGGATTGGCTATCCAAAAACTATGCCTTCATTGATTGTGCTCGTAGGAAGGTGGTATTTCAAATTCCTGGGCAACCTATTTTTACTTTGGAACACTTTCCTAGGAGTGGGGTGTTGGTTTCGAGGGTGCCATTAAAAGTAATTTCAGCATTGAAGGCTAAGAAGGAATTGAGAAAAGGGTATAGAGGTTTCTTGGCTTATGTAATGGATACCCACCGTAAAGAAGTTAAGTTAGATGATATCCCCGTTGTTAAAGAATTTTCGGATGTGTTCCCAGAGCAATTACCTGGATTACCTCCAGATAGAGAAATTGAGTTTGAAATAGAGGTTGTTCCCGGAACCACTCCAATCTCAAAGGCCCCTTACCGCATGGAACCATCTGAGCTACGTGAGTTAAAGGTGCAATTACAAGAGTTGCTTGATATGGGATTTATTAAACCTAGTGTATCTCCTTGGGGTGCACCAGTGTTATTTGTGAAGAAAAAAGATGGTAGCTTGCGATTGTGTATTGACTATCGGGAATTAAATAAAGTTACTATGAAGAACAAGTATCCTCTACCTCGCATAGATGATTTATTTGATCAGTTGCAAGGTGCTAAATACTTCTCAAAAATTGATTTGAGATCAGGGTACCATCAATTGAAGGTTAAAGCTAGCGATATACCCAAGACTGCTTTTAGGACCCAGTATGGCCATTATGAATTTTTGGTGATGCCGTTTGGGTTAACTAATGCTCCTGCCTTCTTTATGGATTTGATGAATAGGGTCCTCAAGCCATTTCTGGACAAATTTGTTGTGGTATTTATTGATGACATTTTGATATATTCAAAGAGTGAGGAAGAGCATGCTCAACATCTGAGGATCATCTTGCATACCTTGAAGGAAAATGAATTGTATGCCAAGCTAAGTAAATGTGAATTTTGGCTTAAGGAGGTATCTTTTCTTGGTCATGTGATTTCTGGAGATGGGATTTCTGTGGACTCGGGTAAAGTTGAAGCGATAACGCAATGGCCGAGACCCACTAATGTCACAGAAATAAGGAGTTTTCTGGGTTTAGCAGGTTATTACAGGAGATTTGTGAAAGACTTCTCATTAATAGCTATGCCATTGACTCGGTTAACTCGGAAGGGTATAAAGTTTGATTGGGATGAGGAGTGTGAGAAGAGCTTTCAGGAATTAAAGGAAAGATTGGTTAATGCACCTATCTTAACCCTACCATCCGGGGAAGGAGGATTTGTTATTTATAGTGATGCATCAAGAAGAGGATTAGGATGTGTGTTGATGCAAAATGATAGGGTGGTAGCCTATGCGTCCCGAAAATTGAAGCCCCATGAAGTTAATTACCCCACTCATGACTTAGAACTAGCAGCTGTGGTATTTGCTTTAAAAATTTGGAGGCACTACCTATATGGAGAATCTTGTCAAATATTCACGGATCACAAGAGTTTGAAGTACCTCTTTACCCAAAAGGAATTAAATATGAGACAACGACGATGGTTGGAGCTAATCAAAGATTACGACCTCTCTATTAATTATCATCCGGGTAAGGCTAACGTGGTAGCCGATGCTTTAAGTCGTAAGTCCTCCACGGTTAATGTGACAATGGTAACCACTCAAACCCAATTGTTGAAAGACTTGCAAGATTTGGAAGTTGAGGTTATTTCGCAAGATAAGCAAGGAGGAATTTTGGCAACTATGACTGCAAAACCAGTATTATTAGATCGCATCAAAGCGGCCCAAGTTCTAGATCCCGAGCTGATTAAGATTCGGGAAAAAGTTCAAACGGGTAACCCAAGAGAGTTCGGTATTCATGATGATGGATCCCTATATCTCAAGTCCCGACTATGCATTCCAAATGATGTTGAGATAAGGAAGGATATTTTAAAGGAAGCCCATCAGTCTCACTTCTCAGTACATCCAGGTGCTACCAAAATGTATAGAGATATGAGAAATAATTTTTGGTGGAGTGGTATGAAGCGGGATATTGCTGACTTTGTGGCTAGATGCATGGTATGTCAACAAGTCAAAGCTGAACACCAAAGACCTGCAGGATTACTGAAACCCCTAGAGATACCTCAGTGGAAGTGGGAACATATATCTATGGATTTTGTGAGTGGATTACCGAACAGTCAGCATGGGAAAAATACCATTTGGGTTATTGTGGATCGACTTACTAAGGTTGCACATTTTCTACCCATTAAACAGACAACTCCATTGAATGACCTAGCTGAGTTGTATGTGAATGAAATCGTAAGGTTACATGGCGTACCTGTTAGTATAGTATCTGACCGGGACTCTAGATTTGTGTCAAAGTTTTGGAGAAGCTTACAACGAGCCATGGGGACTGAATTAAGATTAAGCACTGCATTTCATCCACAAACAGATGGGCAAACCGAGAGGACAATTCAGACTTTGGAGGATATGCTTCGAGCTTGTGTTTTGGATTTCAAGGGTAGTTGGAGTAAATACTTAACTTTGATTGAGTTTGCATATAACAATAGCTACCAATCAAGTATAGGGATGGCACCTTTTGAAGCTTTATATGGAAGGAAGTGTAGATCTCCTTTATATTGGGATGAAGTTGGAGAAAGAAAGATCTTAGGACCAGAACTTGTACAACTCACAGTTGAGAAGATTAAATTAAGTAAGAAAAGAATTAAAGCCTCTCAAGACAGGCAAAAGAGCTGGGCTGACTTGAAAAGAAGAGAATTGGAATTCAAAGTTGGGGATTTGGTGTATTTAAAGGTTTCACCAACTCGAGGAGTAATGAGGTTTGGAGAGAAAGGGAAATTAAGTCCACGTTACATTGGACCGTTTGAGATTCTGAGTAGAGTGGGTAGTTTGGCTTATGAGCTAGCACTACCACCACAATTAGCTGGAGTTCACAATGTATTCCATGTATCAATGCTACGAAGGTACATTGCAGATCCGAGTCATGTGGTGGAGTATCAACCACTACAAGTTAGGGATGACTTAACATATGAAGAAGTACTTCTTCGTATCATTGATCGGAAGGAACAAGTGTTGAGGTCCCGAGTAATCCCTTTTGTTAAAGTGCAATGGTCACATCATACCCCAACAGAAGCAACATGGGAAAAGGAAGATGATATGAAGGATAGATATCCTGAACTCTTCAAGTTTGAAGGTAAGTAAGTTTCGAGGACGAAACTCATTTTAAGGTGAGGAGATTGTAATACCCAATTTCTTATAAATGCAATTATGCTTAAGTTTTATTAAGTGAAGTCAACAAGTCAAAGCTTCTTATTTTGATATTGGATAAAATTACCAAATTACCCTTCTTTACCCTTAAAGGTTAAGGAACCACATGAGTCTTGGATAAGCATCATATTTGAAAGAAGACAAGGAGAGCTAATTAGAGAGAGTTAGGGGAAGGGAAAACCTTGAAGCTTGGATCTCCATCTTCTTCAAGCTTAGATCTCTAAGATATTGGGTATTCTAGGTGAGTTTAACCTCTATCTTTTACTCTTTATGAGTGGATTTATCTTTGGAGCCCTAAGATTGATATTTGAAAATATTAGGGATTTTGACAAGGAGTATTTGGGCAAGCTAAATAGCTAAGATTTGGATGTTTTAGGTAAGTGTTTATTCCTCTCAAAACTATTTTTACCCTATACTATAAATTAAGCTTGTGTTCCGAATTGTTATAATGAAGCTTGAGCTGCGTATTTTTGGACTAGAAACGTTGCTATGTAATCTGGACTGGAATTGTTGTAAACTGTGTTTCTGGACAGAAAGTATGGTCTTATTTAATCTGAACTGGAATTAACACCATGTGTAGTGATGGTTGAATGGTTTATGGTTGCTGTGCTGGTAGTAGTTAGTCCAGAGTTTGAATCTGCTTTGCTAATAAGGCCTTATGTTTGTTTTATATACGTAATATATGACTTATGTTTGTTTTATATATGTAATATATGCTTATAAAATGAATTATTTGTTTAAAGTGAGACTTGAACTCTTAACCTCTTACTTATTAATTTAAGTTTTTTTCCAACTAAGCCATTTCAATCCCTTTGAAATTACTTTGGTTTAATAAATCATTCTATGATTTTTAAAGAGTTATGTACTAAGAAAATTATTATTTTGAGAATGGTTTATACCTTGCATATTTCTTAGTTTGATAAACTTATTATCTATTTTGGAAATAGGTACTTTGTTATGTGATTTTAAAGAAATGATTTTTGCTACATCGGGCTATTTGATTATAAGAACTATTTGGATCATTTGATAAAACTCATGAGGCAACCTACATTTTGTTGTTTGTTTTGTTTGGCTTGGAACGTTCCTAATTGCTCATTCTGAATCGTCGAGCTTGACTCATTCCGAATCGTCGAGTCTTTTGAATTATTTGTTGGAACGTTCCATCCGGCTCATTCCGAATCGTCGAGCCTGACTCATTCCGAATCGTCGAGTCTTTTTGGACCATTATACCAATAATGGCATGTGCCACAAAATATAATGGTGGTTGTAGGTTGCCAATGGGTCATATGTTAAGGAATGATTTGTGCTTTTGAAAGTCTTTTGTTATGAAATATTGTTGATGCCCATGTAGCTAAAGTTTCTTGTTTTGTGAGCTTATGTATTGTATGATGGAGTATATTATGACTTCGATATGGTTTAAAGATCAAGTTTTGCCTCTAGTTATTACTCTAAAGCTTTTTGTATTATATTGGGGTTACTTGA